GGGGGGGGGAGTTTGAGGTGTGGAATGGAGTGAAGTCCAATCAGCTTCCATATGCAAAAGACCTTGAAATGCTGGGCGGGACTGCACAAAGCAGCCAGTCAACCCAGCCAGCGTCTTCTGACTGACAGTTCTTCCGGCCAAACACTAAAGGGGCCAAATTTAGAACGTTCAATATACAACGTTGCTATTCAATTATAATAAGGGAGAGATGTTCACCCCTGAATGTCTCTTGCCTTGAAAAGCCTGTGGGGTCACCATAAGTCCCCTGCAACTTGATGGCACGTTCCACCACCAAGGCCACCTAGCAAGCTTTATGGCAAGGTCAAGACAGGAATCCAAGGCCGCCAGGTTTGCAGCTCTCTCTCTCTTTGCCACTGTGCCAGCTGTCAAGAACTCAATTCTCAAGATTCAGGGCCTCGGTATCTTGCCAAACCTGTTCTGCAGTGTTGGGCTGGCCTGTTTACAGAGAGAAGGGCAGTTTGCTTTGCCGTGCCACTGCCCCTTAAACAAATGGCAGGCCGCAAGCGGCAGCTGCCTCTCAAAACCTATCAAGCTAGCAAGACGACGAAGCATTGCTCTCGATTCTTGACGAGCATTACTCTCGATTCTTTTTGGAGGAGCAGGCAGGGAGGGGGGACAGAACCAATTAAGTGGACAGTTTTACACCTCATTAAGCTAACAAATAGCAACGCGATGGCCGCTAATTGGCAACATAGCTGCTTTTAAAATCCTGAATACATTAGGGCGCTTGTTAAAACGAATCAGGTAAGTGTCAGAACAATGAAGAGCGCTAGAGCGGGCAGAAGCCTCTCGCGTGGGCTGAACAACACGTTAAATCACAGCGGCGTGAAACAGTCTGTCGCCGCGTCTGCCCCCATAGCGTCCTTGGCAGGTGTACGTTGCGAGCCAAGGGAACTTCCCTGTGTGGCTGCAGGAGGGTTCGGGGTCTCGTTCAGGCCATGCTGTAACGTGGGCAAAGGAGCTCTGTGGACATGGCGCAAGATCCAGCATGTGGGCAATGCCTGCATTGCTGCTTTGCCTGGGCCGCAAGGCGGCTTAAAGGAGTGCCCCCCGAACCTGTGTCGAATCACAGGGGGAAATTCTTCTGCCTCACCAGCATCATGCTTAAATTAGGACTCGACAGGAGGAGAGACAAGAAGAGCAGTTGACCCTCTGCATCCGCAGTCCAGGGGTGACAGTACTTGCGTGTCTCTCTGAAGCTGAAGACCCGTCGAGCAACAGACAAGCCTTTAAGGATCGACAGGGTCAAACAAGCGGTCTCAGAACAAAGAAAGCTACAAACCGAAGCTAAGTAAAACCTTATTTATTTATTTATTTATTTATAGTTTCGATTTATTATACCGCCCTAACCCCCGTGGGGGTCTCTTATCATTAAAGGGAAGATCAGCAAAGTAGTTTAACTGTGAAAGAAATATAAAGGAGTAGATAGAGCGGGGTTAAGGGACGTTATAATCAATGTTCCCTCTAAGCTGTGGAGTCTTGTGAGCAAAAATTCTATTTTGTGAGCTACCGGCATCAGAGTTGTGAGCACGTGATTTGGCTGCTGTATAAATCAGTTTGCTCTGGCGCCATCCTTCCTGAGCTAAGACAAAAATGTGTGAGCCGGAGGCTAAAAAACTGTGAGCTAGCTCACACTAACTCAGCTTAGAGGGAACACTGGTTATAATTAAGGCCAGCAAGAAAGTGGGGTTAAATTAGGACTCGACAGGAGAAGAGACAAGAAGAGCAGTTGACCCTCTGCATCCGCAGTCCAGGGGTGACAGTACTTGTCTGTCTCTCTGAAGCTGGAGACCAAAACTAGGAACAAAAGAAGGGAAGGACCAGTAGTGGCTGAAGGGGACCTCCCCAGGCCAATAAAACAAGAGACAGGCAATCCTTCCTTAGGTGCTGCGTCTACACAGCTACTGGACATGAGCATCTCTGCAGGGAACCCTCACCACAAAAGTGGGGTTGAGGGCACGGATCTTCTCTTCTCGAACGAGCAATAAGCTTAACACGGCTAGAAACTATCTAGCCATCCATCTACGGCGGGGGTCCCCAACCTTTTCGCCTATGGGCAACTCAGGAGTTCGACATAGTGTGACGGGTGCAGCCCCAAAATGGCTGCCAAAAATGGCTACTGAAAGAGGTGGAGCGGGCCAAAAAACAACCGCAGCAGCTTATCTTCAGTCACACAGTGACGATCCTTGTGTTGAGGCGGCAGCGACTGCCAAAGCCATGTTTCTAAAAATCTACACATCTAGTCAATTCTCTATGGGTCAAGCAGAAGTCTTGCTGGACGGAAGCCCGACCTGGCTCCATGTACTTCCTAAAAGCATTTGGTGGGCACCAGAAAAGGCGCTGGTGGGCACCACTGCGCCCACAGGCATGTTGGGGACCTCTGATCCATGATATCTACGATATTTGCCTCCAGACCTTCCTGTAAATGGGGGGAGGTATTTATGAATCTCCTGCATTTTGCAGGGGGTTGCACTAGATGACCCGGAAGGTCCCTTCCAACTCTATGATTCTATGATCTCAAGGTGGTATCTGCAGTTCTCACCGCCTCTACCTTGACTGTGAAACCTGGGCTCTCACGGGGAAGGGCACGAGATGATTCCCATGAGCAGGTCCTCTACAGTTGACTCTTTCGCTAGCCAAAAAGGACTGAGTCAATGGCCTGGGCGAAGGAGGGCCAAGCATTTGAAAACCATTACCTTAATTAGAACCCCAACGTAGATATGATAAATATGTAATCATCACCAGGCTCAATACTTCTGTTGATTATTTTAAAAAATAGTCATTGTGAAATAATGAAATTAATTCTAAAAAAACACCGTAACCAATGTGTCAGATCTATGGGGGGGAGGAGTGCTTCCGGCTCCCCAGCAAGCAAGACTGAGGTGTGGGCAGCCTCTGAGACTGCTGTGGATGACGACTTCCCGTTCCAATGTGGAAAGGTCTGCACAGTTTGTTGCAGGCGGGCAGTAAGAAAAATTTCGCTGTACTGTTTTGTCTAGATCCAACTGCTGAAAGTCCAGAGGGATGGTGATCCTAGTTCTTGGCCTAGCTACCAAATGGCATCACGACCAAGTTAGAAAGGGAAGCAGGCATTTATTTGGTGTAGAGCCAGTTTGGTGTAGTGGTTAAGTGCGCGGACTCTAATCTGGGAGAACCGGGTTTGATTCCCCACTCCTCCACTTGCACCTGCTGGATGACCTCAAGCAAGCCGTAGTTCTGTCAGAGCTGTTCTCTCACGAGCAGTTCTCTCAGAAAGAGCTCTCTCAGCCCCACCTACCTCACAGGGTGTCTGTTGTGGGGAGGGGGAGGGAAAGGAGATTGTAAGCCGCTCTGAGATTCCGAGTGAAGGACGGGGTATAAATCCAAGCTCCTCCCCCTCCTTCCTGTATTTATAGCCCGCCCTTCCTGCGAGCAGGTTCAGGGTGGTTAACAGCATTTCAACAATACAATAAATATAATGAAAGATTTCAAACACAGTGATACACATTAAAACGGCGGTCACAGCCCAAGGATAGAATTGGCTGGTTGTGAGAGATTCCCTGGCCCACTGATAACGGAAGAATGATAGCCAGCTGTTAATGGGAGACAAGGAACACATCTGCCCTGGGGCCTTCTCAGCTGCATGGAATGTTTCGTCTGTGGCCAACTAACAGACGGCCAATATTTAACGGGTCAACTGACCAGCATGCCAACTCTCTACCATCCCGAGTTCCATGAGGAAGACAGGGTGGTGTAAAGTAATTCGGCATATAAGCAAGGAAACAAAGAAAATAATAAAAAAAGAGCATAAGAGGACATAAGAGAAGCCACCCAGTCCAACATTCTGTGTCACCCAGAGGCCAAACCCCAGGTCCCATCAAAAGGTCCAACAGTGGGGCCAGAACTCCAGAAGCCCTCCCACTGTGGCCCCTCTGCAGCACCAAGAATACAGAGCATCACCGCCTCAGACATAAGAACATAAGAGAAGCTGTGTTGGATCAGGCCAGTGGCCCATCCAGTCCAACACTCTGTGTCACACAGTGGCCAGAAACCCAGGTGCCATCAGGAGGTTGACCAGCGGGGCCAGAACTCCATATGCCCTCCCACTGTGGCCTCCCAAGTACCAAGAATACAGAGCATCACTGCTTCAGACACAGTGTTCCATCTATACGTTGTGACTAATAGCCACTGATGGGCCTCTGCTCCATAATCCCCTCTTGAAGAACACCTAGAATGGTGGGAATGGGCCCTTGCAAAGATCACAATCCAAAACTGTGTGTTTTCTTTAAACAAACAAACAAAAAACCCTAAGGAAACCCTTCCCCCAAATTCTGTTAAAATCCAACGGCCATACCTTGCAGAAGTCTGCCAGCTTTACAAACATGGATACCAAAAGCAGCCTCGAAGTTCTCAGAAGAGACGAGATCCGCAATCGCTAGTGGGGACTCGTAGTCTGAAGTATCCCGGATGATACACTCGTGACCAGCTGCTTCTAGATGATCCCTTTTGTCACCAGAGCAAATGGAACGAGGGAGACAGAGAGAGAATATTTGAGCCTGCTTAAAACAATTCACTGTTTCACAGAGCTTGCCCTGAACCCTTCTTTCCGGCTTAAAAAAGGCACCTGAGATAAAAACAGGTGGTTAGACCAAGAGTCACCAACCTGGTGCCCGTGGGCACCATGGCACCTACCAACACCTTTCCCGGCCCCTGCAAAGTGCTTCTAGAAAATCAGTGGGGCTAGGTGTTAGAGAATGAACTTGATGCTTGCTTCATGGACTTATATTTATTGCTACACACACAATGGACTGTGCACACACTCACACATAGGCTCAGAGAACTGTACATCCCAAGTCACCTGTTGTGATGCAACACATAGAAGGTGCCTGCACAAGCCTTACACGTGAATGAGGTTTCAGTTACACAGCCTAATGAAGGAGCACACACCTCCATTGTTGTGAGCAGTAAGAAACAACAACTTGAGCAGAGACAACCTCCATTGCTGAATCAGTTGTGATCACTTACGACACATCCATGCTTTGTTCTACATTGGTATTTCCTGCCAAATGGACATTTGTTTCACAAAGAGAATGGCCAGCATCATCTGCACTTCAGTGAAGCATCCTGACCTCAAGGTTTTCACACCTGACCAGATGGCCCTCTTTGAGTAAGGTATTAGATTTCAATATTGACCACTCCTTTAGGCAACCTCCCACTCCTATAGGCAACCAATAGGATTGTTTTTGGGACGGACTAACAGGAAGGTCCCTTGGACTGCAAGAAGACACACAATGGACTGTGCACACACTCACACATAGGCTCAGAGAACTGTACATCCCAAGTCACCTGTTGTGATGCAACACATAGAAGGTGCCTGCACAAGCCTTACACGTGAATGAGGTTTCAGTTACACAGCCTAATGAAGGAGCACACACCTCCATTGTTGTGAGCAGTAAGAAACAACAACTTGAGCAGAGACAACCTCCATTGCTGAATCAGTTGTGATCACTTACGACACATCCATGCTTTGTTCTACATTGGTATTTCCTGCCAAATGGACATTTGTTTCACAAAGAGAATGGCCAGCATCATCTGCACTTCAGTGAAGCATCCTGACCTCAAGGTTTTCACACCTGACCAGATGGCCCTCTTTGAGTAAGGTATTAGATTTCAATATTGACCACTCCTTTAGGCAACCTCCCACTCCTATAGGCAACCAATAGGATTGTTTTTGGGACGGACTAACAGGAAGGTCCCTTGGACTGCAAGAAGATCAAATCAATCAATCCTAGAAGAAATCAACCCTGACTGTTCCCTGGAAGGCCAGATAATGAAACTGAAGCTCAAATACTTTGGCCAGCAAATGAGAAGGGCCTGATGCTGGGAAAGACTGAAGGTCAAAGAAGACGGGGATGGCAAAGGATGAGATTGTTAGACAGTGTCATCGATGCAACGAGCATGAAATTGAGCAAACTTCAGAGGACAGTGGAAGACAGGAGGGCCTGGCGTGATCTGGTCCATGGGCTCGCGAAGAGTTGGACTCGACTGTGCGACTGAACAACAAAAACAGGAAGGTGGGCCAGGAGGTTGGCACACCCATCTCCTGGATCTCCGATAAAAGAAGAGAACCAGTCACATGGTCTCTCTCTCTCTCTCTCCTACTTGATCAACTAGTTAGCATCCCCTGCAACAACCCCTGTCTGTTTTATACTTCCCTTTTGTCCAGCTTGCTATCCCCAAACCCTTGCCTCTACTTTGATCTCTTGATCTGCAGTCAAGAGACCCACACGTTCTGGCTGGTTCTAGTCATGTGTGAACTCCTTTAGATTTCTATTTCTTCCCATCCATTCTTCATTGGAACAACCAAGCTGCGAAGACAGATAAGTATTGCCCATCATTAATGCAACAGTGCTTATTTTTCATACTGCATTTCTAAGGAACTTGATTGAATGTGTGAGCGCATCAGTATTGTTTGTATGAGATTTATATTCTTCAAGTAAAAGACATTTATTTTAACAACACCAGCCTCGACTCCTTCTCTGGTAACCCTTGGTGGGAACAGGACCTTGGTATAGTTGGCAAGCACCCAGTTTAAAATTTGCCAATTGCTGTAGATAAAGCAGTTTGGCTAACGTAGGTGGGCTTTATGTCCAGCGGGGCTTCTGACTGGTTGCACAGATTAAAAGGCATCCTTTTAAACAGAACATTGCCTGAAATGCTGAAGAGGTGCTAGAGTTATATATAACCCCACTCCATGACATGTTGTGGTTGCCTCCGCCTCTTCTGGCAGCCATTTTGTGATTTGCACCAGCTCCTGTGGCAGCCATTTTGTGAATGTGCCCACAGCCCTGTGACAGAACTCCAAAGGTACCTGCAGGCTCAAAAAGGTTGGAGGCACCCGGGTGAGACTTCATCTGGACTGGACCACTATGGGTGCTGAGGCTGCATACTTGGAACACTCCCCAACAAAAGAAGGGAACGCAGACAACTGGTCTGGGTCCTTCCCTGCAACACCCAATTCTCCTACATGCAATCAACGCAACAGCCCGGTTCACTGCTTTGGAGAGTGGCCCCTATGGCACTGTGCCCTGCTGGAAGTCCCTTCTCCTCCCCAAACCCCTCTCCCCAAATCTCCAGATATTTCCCAACCCAGAATTAGCAACCGTATTCATGAGGCCTTTTAAAACGGAGGTGCCAGAGATGAAGCCCGAGATCTTCTGCATGCAAGCAATGCTCCCTCTAAGCCGTGGAGTCTCATAAGCAAAAATTCCAATTTGTGAGCTCCTGGCATTGAAGTGGTGAGCGAGCGATTGGGCCACTGCATCAATTAGTTTGCTCCGGAGCCCTCCTTCCTGAGCTGAGGCAAAAACGTGTGAGCCGGGGGCTAAAAAACGTGAGCCAGCTCACACTAACTCAGCTTAGAGGGAACACTGCGTGCAAGACATGTACCCTATCCCAGAGTACTTTTCCATTACACAGACAAACCGGGGCAGGCCAAAGGGGTATAGCTGAAGGGTCATTTCTCCCGTGTCTTCCCGCCAGATCTTCCACCATCACCTTTTCCAGATGTCCAGGTGAGCTGCTGTCATCGATTTCGCCATCCCTATACAGGCTAATGGCATAACTTGAACGCCTCAGCTCTCTAACCTGCCTCAAATACTGTGTTTCCTAGTGGCCACCAGCTTTGTTTACTGGTATATCAAGTCTCAAATCAAACATCTACATCAGGGGTGTCAAACATGCAGCCCAGGGGCTGGATCAGGCCCCCGGAGGGCTTCCATCAGGCCCGCAGTGGAACTGGCCATCTCCTGCTTCCAGTTCTGCTGCTGCTGCATCACAGCTTGCTTCGCCAGACTCTCTTAATCACTCAGCCATTTCATGTTTTAACCTGGGTCCTCCACTCAGAACTCTGAGCGTGAGATTTCTGTGGGGAATGTCAGTAAACCAAAAGGAGGTTTGCAGCTTACAGAGCTAATGTTTTCAGCATGTTTTTATTTTAAGTTAAAAAAAAAATCTCTGTGTTTGTGTCCTTTATAAAGTTTATATCTCCGCTACCTGGCATTACATTTATGACACACGTGGCCCGGCCCAACAAGGTCTCATTTATGTCAGATCCAGCCCTCATAACAAATGAGTTCGACACCCCTGATCTACATGAAAGGTCCCCACAGCGCCTGCCGACTTCTTTCCTGGCCCCCCTACCAAGTGATTTTACAAAGTGGGCAGAGCCAGGGCAGGGGCTTCTGCCCAGCAAGACTCCTGATTGGCCACTGGAGATTTGATTGGCTGTGCAGATTTTTAAAAACGTGCTATGCTGGCAGCTGCTGTCAAAGCAACAAGGATCTCCACTGTGTGACTCAAGGTAAGCCATAGCAACCACTCTGCGGTTGGCTATGCCTCCTGCAGCAGCCATTTTCCGTCCACCATCTTGTGGCTGCGCTCACCACACTGTGTCGGAATTCCGAAGGTGCCCAAAGGCTTCCCAAGTCCTTAAAGCTTTTCCCTTTGACTCTTGTATTCGTTTTCAGCTGGGAGAAGATCTACAACAGGGGTGTCGAACTCATTTGTTATGAGGGCCGGATCTGACATAAATGAGACCTTGTTGGGCCAAGCCATGTGTGTCATAAAGGGTAATGCCAGGTAGCGGAGATATAAACTTTATAAAGGACACAAACACAAAGATTTTTTTTACTTAAAATAAAAGCATGCTTACAACATTAGCTCTGTAAGCTGCAAACCTACTTTTGATTTATTGACATTCTCCACAGAAATCTCATGCTCAGAGCTCTGAGTCTTGGACCCAGGTTAAAACATGAAATTGCTGAGTGATTAAGAGAGTTTGGCGAAGCAAGCTATGATGCAGCAGCAGCAGAACTGGAAGCAGGAGATGGCCAGTTCCACTGCGGGCCTGATGGAAGCCCTCCGGAGGGCTGATCTGGCCCCTGGGCTGCATGTTTGACACCCCTGATCTACACTGAACAGCTCATATCATCCGCCTTGGATTCTAAAGGCCTCATTATGGATATTTTGCACTAAATGCAACAGCGAATGTTAGCACCTGCTAACATAACAGCAGGATTCTTTTCACATTCTGAATTCAAGAACAGTGATTTGTACCTAAAAAAAAATTTTTTTATGTATTTTTCCTTCCTCTGGGCAACGACAGAAATGTGGCCAATTACCACAAATCACTCTTTTGTTGAAGCGCTAAGTTTGCATGTTAGAATTCATTTTAATCCAGCATGCTAACAACCACATGGTGGGGGTGGATGTCCGAATCCATTTGTGGCTTTATTCTGAGACAAGACCTGGATATGCTCTGTTACGCCTTGGGTTTCAAAACCTCCCGGGGGGGGGGGGATTAACAAATGCATGAGCGCGTTTTCCCAACACCGATTTTTGCCCCACGTTGCAAGGTTGGGATGAAAAGTGATCAGAGAAGGGTGAGGGCTGCTGCTGTCAATCACTAATGAGGCCGAAGGAAAAGAAGATCCCTTCCTGGC